GTGCACAAAGCTGATGGCACTCCTCTGGAAATCACTGACAGGGAGCTGATTGGTTGGGCTGCAGTGCCCTTGTTTGATTGGTGAGTTTTATGTTCTGTTTGACAGTTGATGTCTGTGCATTATTCTTTGTCTTTCAGTGGATAAACCCATGGAATTCCACACAGTGCTGATGTAGGATTCAATCTTGTTCAAACTCAGTCCATAGAATAACAATGTAAAGGGAGCATGGAAACTTTCTCCTGATGGCCCCTCTACCCACATGTCCATAAAAGGGATTGGAATGTAGTGTACTCATCATGGAAGACATTTTACAAACCCATTAATAATAAATAATAATTTACTTACAGGTTTTTATTGATGCTTTATCTCCATTCTAGGTCATCAAATAAATTCATTTTATACATTTGAATTAAACATTGTTTTCATAGTTTTTGTAGCTTTGAATTTTAAGTGCACAGAAAAACATTTTTTTTTGCCCACTGCTCTATAGACTTCTGCTTTCAGTCCTTGTTATTATATGTAATACAATGATTATGCTTGCCCTGGATGTGGCAAAATATGTAGGTCACAGCTGGGGCAGCGTATTCACAGGAAATACTGCATTCCTCATTAATCTTAATGGTTTATTAGGCCATTGTTCTGGTACTTTGGTACCAACCCTACTTAACAAAGTTTGTTGGAAGTATTTTTTCACTTTGTGTTTTGTCCTCCTTCTAGCAATGCAGTCATGTCTGGCACCCACATTGCCCCTGTACTCACCAAGACTCTGAATGACCAACTGTTAGAGGATCTGTCCAACTTATCTGTTGTTCCAACTCTGAGTAAAACTGTTTGGAACAATAGCACAAAGATAGTAAGTTTGACAATGTCCAGTAACATTTGCGTTTTAAAAATATTGTGCAATTGTTTCATTAGTTTATTATAGTTTAGCATTTAAATGTAAATGACCAATGAACCTTATAAAACAATGCGAATGTCTGGCTTCATTTATATATTAATATGTTAATAGAAATCTAAGAATGACAATATGTTAAGGTCAATAGTTGGTTAATACAAAAGTAGACAGATGAGCTTTACATGAGCTTTACATCATCTGCCCTATAGACTACAAGATCTGAAAGGGGAACAGAATTGTAAAACAAAAAATAGATACACTAGTGAAATGGGTGTATGGTGGCTGACAGGTAAAGTGCTTGAATTTTGAAGGTGTTGGGTTCAAATCCTGGTGAAGACTGGGATTTTGAATTTTTGGGATTTTTAGAATTTAGTCCAGCCAACTCAAGTGAGTACTTTACATGAGTCGGGGAAATTTAAGGCAGTTGGTCGTTGTGCTGGCCACATGACACCCTTGTTAACTGTGTGTGCCATAGAAACAGCTGAATTTTATATCATCTGCCCCATCAATCATAAGGTCTGAAAAGGATACTTAATATTACTTTTTACTAGTGAAGTACTGCTGCTATATTCTGATTATCCATATCTCTTATTAAATATTCTATTACACCGAATGTGTGAATCTGCAGAGTGACATTCATACATAAATATATGTACATCAACTAATATTTGGTACATCATATTTGAATATTTAATGAAAAGGTTTCATTTGTATCTCTAGCCAGGGGCAAGTATTCAAGTCAATGTGTGGGACTCTCACTTTAATTTCTCAGAGTTACCTGAGCCTCAGGTGAGTGGGTCAACAAAAAAAAAAAGAACTTTACATTCAAAACGTTGATTGTGTATTGTCCAAGGAGCTGCTTTGATATGTTGGTCAAGGCCTGACCTCTTTGGAGACTACACCATCTTACACTGTGCCTATTACTTCTTTGTGTACAAAATCTAAGTTCTGTCCATTACTTCTCTAAGTGCTTTTTAGTCAATGCTGTGAGACTTGTATGTGGGCCCACATCTAGGGCAAGGATAAATGAGAGCTCCTGCATGGCACTTGGTGAACCAAAGTCAAAAACTAGTAAAATATAAAAAGTACTTAAAAAAACAAAACAATGTTAAGATTTATTTTCATTTTTCATGATCAAACAAAATAAATTAATTACCACTATTTAATTAACTGGAGGCGTGGTGGCTGAGCGGTAAAGCGCTTGGCTACCGAACCGGGGTTCGAATCCTGGTGAAGACTGGGATTTTTAATTTCGGGATCTTCGGGTGCCTCTGAGACTTTAGTTAGGGAAAAGTAAAGGCGGTTGGTCGTTGTGCTGGCCACATGACACCCTCATTAACCCTAGGCCACAAAATCAGATGGCCTTTACATCATCTACCCTATAGACCACAAGGTCTGAAAGGGGAACTTTACTTTTTTTTTTTTTATTTAATTAACTAATGGTTAATTGTTAGATTGATTTGTGCTGTTAGGGACAATGGGAAATTGTGCAAAGTTTCAACTTGATTCAAGAAGGGAAGAAATAATAGCTTCATAATTTGTACTAGACAGACTGAGTTGATATAAACTTTGTAAAAAGGCAGAAAACGCAGCATCTGGTGATTGATTTAAAATGTCTAACCTGTCACCCTAGATGTGTTTCAAAGATTGGCCTCTTTAGTCACATTGGCAGTTGTAAAGGGGAAACATTCATAACATAAAATGCCAGAGAGAATCATACTAATGAAAATGCAGTACTGGTGGCCAAATCCTGAAACTGTTTCCCTCTGACAATGACTTCAAAGAAAAGTCATTTTCAAGAATCTGATTCAAGCACGACCTACAGTGATTTCCATCATGATCTCGAATAGCTAGACTATAATTGACTGTTAAGTTACCAATTCAATTTGTATTTGTAGGTTCACAGACCTCTGCTGGATGTTGTGGGCAGTTCTGAGCAGTATCTGCAGACAGTGAAGGCGCCAGCTAACAGTCCAACTCTCCAGGAGTATGTCCTGAACATGTTAGAGGAGAAAATAAAAAAACAAGGAGTTCAGGGAGCAACTTTCAAGAAAGAGTTGTCCTTCTTTAATGAAACAATGGCCAAAAAATATTATGAACTCATGGTATGATAGGATTATTCCACTACAATTCTGATATTATTAAGGTTAGTTTAAGTCGATTGCTTTACTTTTCACAGAAATGTACATTTTATTTCTGCTTGTTTTCTATTTCAGCTGGACTATTGCTTATTGAATGGATTAGCACCTTTATAACAAGTAAACATTTCATCTTGGTTTATCTGGGTTTATTCCTGTTGGCATTTAAATTTTTTTTTTTCATTTCACATTTCTTGAATTTTATTTCAATTAAAATGCTACGTTTTTTACTTGAATGTATATTTGTTTTTTCTCTCTTTTTTTTTAACTACATTTATTTTTCTATATTTAATTTTTTTTTATTTTCAAGTCATTTTACTGTGTGACTTGTTATGTAGGAAATATTTATGTTTTGATTGTAATTTGTCAAATTACTTGAAAGCAGGGTGTTACATTGAGCACAAGCATTTGTTAAGAAAGAATCTGAACCATTATCTTAAAAAAATGCTTCAAAAATACTTTATAATGTTTAACTTATAATATACACAGAAAGTTAATAATAAATTGAACTGTGAATAGTTTATTTATGTACAAAGGTGAAAGCGGAGGCCATTTTTTTTTGTTTACTATCGATTATCTGTGGACTGTTTCCTTGTAGGATTTGTATTGATTATGTTGCAAGGCTTGTGTCTGGGTTACATTGTTCTACCTATACATAATAGTTTGGTTTATAAGAGCTCCCTTTATTTCTCGCTAAATGGATCCCTTCCCTTGATATGGTGTTGAATGAATACGCTCATGACATTGCTACATGGTGACATTGAGTAGCATCAGGCATTTAAAAAAATATTTTTTGCATAATTTAGAATGAATGAGCATGTAATCCTCATTTCTTGCCACTTGAAGGTTGTCAATATTTGAAAGTCCAACCTTATCAACACAGAATTTACTGAATTAGTTGGATGATGTTTAGGTCTCAATTATCCTGATATAAGTCAAATTACTTAGACTTAGATTCAATAATCTGGTGCTGTTCTATACATTAGGCAGAAAGCATTCTCCATAGAAAACTGCCTCCAGCAATGTCTGTAACCTCTTCCCAGCTGGTGTCCACTGCCCTTAGGTCATCCATGAATGTGTGGCACCAGGTGATTCAAGGATGCCCCTTTTTGCATTTTCCTCATATCAGCCTCATGTTATTTCTACCATTGGGCATCACATTGAAAGGTTTGCCATGTATCGGGTGTTGACCTTACTGTCGGGCTTGGTACCTTATGTTTCAACTTTGAATGGTTAGTTTTGTTTCTTAGTTTCAATTATCTTGAATTTAGCAGAAACTAATTTTGTCAAATTTCAACTGAGACAGTTAAATAAAAAAATGTTACCAATGAAATAAAGCAGGGCCTATGTATCAGTGTAAAAGAAAACTTAAACTCAAAGTCTTAATATATGTCTCTTATTATAAACAAAGTTCTGTTGCATGAATGAATGTTCTACAATGAAACTTAAATAATAACCAATTGATGAAAAAATTAAAATATTTGTACAAATGTATCTTATATTTGAAAGATTTCAAAAAGTTAAGAAACTTAATCTAGTAAATGTGTTTTCACATTTTTTTTCTAATAGAAAAATGTATTCTGTATTGAAACTATATGGGTTGAAGAGGGGGCGGCATTTAGTATAGGCTAGGTAAAGAGAAATCTACAATCTTCCAACTTAGAACAGGACACACACTTCTGTTAAATTACCATGTTAACAAAATAAATCCCACACAACTCCCCCTTTGTAGACACTGCACCCACCCTTATGAAACCGTTAACTACATCCTCTTTGAATGCTCCTTCCTAATTCACCTTTGGCAGATCCTACTATCACTACAGCCCAACATAACCAACACCCTGTACGGCAGTGCTGAACAACTGAAGAGAACAGCACACTATTTTTCCTTGGCACAGTCTGCAAAAGAGCTCACAGTTCAGCAGTAAATATCTGGTTAGAAGAAGAACGGGGGGGTGGGGTGGGGGGGGGGGGAGCTAGTTGTCTTGGAATCTTGATGGAGTCCACCAAACTCAAATAGGGGCGGTTAGTCCTTATGCTGACCACCTGACAACCTCTGCAACCTTCGGCCATAGAAACAGATGAGTTTTACATTAATAGATCGCAAGATTTGAAATGGGTTTCATTGAAACGTTTTTTTTAATGATACCAGTTTTGACATAAAGATTTTTATTTTGACCACAGATTTTCTAGTTTCACTATTTTATTTTTTTGTTGGCTTACAAAGTGCCATAAAATGAATATCCTTTATACAATTTTTAAAATGCGTTTTATTTCTTATTTTTAATTGTAAGACATTTGTATTATATTTATTGTGATAGTGTGACTATTCTAAACTTAGGACCAACCACTGTCTGAAGGGCAAGCTATATAATCCTAATGTAGGCCTAGCTTTTGTCTACAATGTCCAAGTGTTATTAACTAGACCTCCTTTATTTATATTTTCATTGATATAGTGGCTTATTTATTGTCAAACCTGTAATCATTAATGCTTTATACAATAACTATAAATGTATATATATATATATATATAATTTGGTGCAGCCTTGATTAATTATGATACATGGTGTTGATATATTTTTTAATTCTATCAAATCGTCATCTGGATCTATGTTGTAACATTATAGTGATTTCACTACCTGCTCTAAAATATTTTACAAAGTTATTATTTTAGAGAAATTTATGATAAACATATCTCGTAAGAGCCAACACCATCCTAAGTGACAAAGTGATGGGTAACTTTATAAAATTATTTGGTGGCGCAAATGACATTTGTACTTAAATGTTATGCTTCTTTTCTGACAATCTCCATTTATTAGTACCACAAAGTTAGAGTTGGTCCAATTAACAGAAATGTACAATAAAATCCACTCAAAGTTTGGTCCAATTAACAGAAATGGACACAAATTCCACTGAAATTGGTGCAGTCCTCTGAAGAATTTAATTACTGATTGAAATATAACCACCAATGTAATGTTTTAGTTTTTGTCACTTGTAATCTGGATGATTTCAAAGACTCAACACCAGCCCCTTACTTTTAGCTAATAACCTGATCTTCACTAGGATTGGAGAACATAAAAAAAAAAAAAAAGATCCACAGACATTCAACTGGTTGCCAAGCATTGAGTGTACCGTAAATCTTAAAGTACCAGCTTGAGCACATGCTCTAAATCAGTAGGATAACTGTGTGAAGATTATGTTTTAATTCAACCTCAAACATTGAAATAACTTAGTTTGTAGTTCATAAATTCATAAATGATGTAAACTAAGGACTAGAAAAATCTACATGAAACAATTGGCAATCAGTGGAACAGCTTTCATGAACAGCATTCACACCCCCACCACACCATTTAACAAAACAAAATACACAAGGAAGTTCAATTGAAGGGGTGTAACTTGAAATATATTGCATCACAGACATTTTATACAACAAAGCAGGTTAAGGTTTCTGCATAAGTCTTTAACTCGGCCAGAACTAATAAGAGACTAAAGTTGGCTAGGGGAGGCCGGTGACAGAGCAGTAAAGTGCTTGGCTTCTGAACAGAGGTTCTGGGTTCGAAGACTGGAATTTTTTATTTCGAGATCTTTGGGCACCTCTGAGTTCACCCAGCTCTAATGGGTACCTGACATTAGTTGGTGGAAAGTAAAAGCGATTGGTTGCTGTGCTGGTCACATGACAGTCTCATTAACCATAGGCCACAGAAACAGACGACCTTTACATCATCTGCCCCGTAGATCGCAAGGTCTGAAAGGGGAACTTTACTTCTTTTTTTTTTTTATTTAAAGTTGGCTAGTCATTGAGCCGACCTCACAGTCACAACACACTATTTAGCCTGAAGAAAAAAATAATGAACAGTATTTAGACACTCAAACATAATGAGATTCATTCAGGAAGTCAAACAGGGTTGGTGTAGGACGTAATCATCTTCTTTTTTGAAGTAACGTCTGTACTATATAAGATAAGAAGATAAGATTTATAGTGTTCTGATGTCATTAAAAAGTATTTTCTTCTGTACTAAACAGAGACACCAGGGTGTGAGCTAGATGTGGGGACAAAGAGAGTAGTCCATTATTTGCATGCTTTGGTTTATTATCTAGCTAGGTTAAGTTGATCAAGAAGATTTTATTGTTGTATTTTTGTTTCATTACTGTTGTGTTTATCAAAACTGTATACAAAGATCAAGGATTAATAATATATTTGTATAGAATTGTACATTTTACTGGTTTACTCAGAGATACAAGTATTGCAATATTTTTTCAATCTTAAACATTTTTGTGTGTGTTATTTATTTATCTTTTAATTTGTATTTGTATACTGTTACATTCATTATATGCAAACTGTTATCTAGAAAAGATCTATATTGGTTACTTTCATCTATGTTAGTGTTTCCCTGAGTTTTATCAGCATTGTGTCTGGGGTCAAAAATTGAATTTTGTCTACTAACAAAGGAAAAATTTGGCACATTTTATGATGTGTACTGGAGTCTCTGATGTGTTAAAATGCCAACATACTTTAGCAGCAATGTATTTTTACATTTAATTGATTGGTATTTAAGTCTATAGATAAATATGGTAGCATATTTCCTGTTGTTAGCTTTGTGGGCTCTTCAATCAAATGCTGTTATTGTACAGGCCTATTTTTGTTATCTGACATTAAAACATAAGATTAAAGCTTATTGTATGTCTATGAATATAATAAACATATTGTCATTTGCAATGAACTTGTCAAAGGTAAGAATATTTATTTTTTTTTTAAATATATGAAATTGTGTATTAGTTTTCTGAATGTAAAATTATTTAAAATATTGTTTCTTTTTTACAATGTCAATTAGCATTATGTTAAAATGTATAGTGTTTATTTTTTCTTGTTAAATATTTGTGTTTGTGTTGTAATTTTCTACATTCTTGTTTCTAAAGTAGTTATAATTTTTTAAAATTATTCATTTCTTTTTATCAATTTTCTTCTTATTGTAAATTGGTTTTATATGCGTTTATTTTCCTTCTTAAAAATTACGTTTAATCATTTTGTAAAGTCTGTTACGTGCAAGGTAATTATTGTATGATCTGGAAAATAAATGTTACAAAATAGTTTTCTAGTGTGTTGTCTTTTAGTATGCTTCCTTATTGAGACTTTATTTATAATTTGTGTTTTTCAACATAGATGCTTAATGACACAATGAAGTTGTAAACATGGTTATATGTATTTGCAAAGCAAATATTGGAGCTGTTTAAAGGATAAGTGGGAAGCATGGTTGAGAAGATAAGTACGCTTGAACTTGGCTTGGTTACCTATGAAAGGGGCTCGAGGCTCAACACCCAACTCAGCAGCACAGAAAACCTTCTCCCAGATACCCCGCCAACCCATAGCGCTCTGTGCATTCTATAAGTATTGGGGTAGTGCTGTATAAAAGCTATAAATTATATATATTTATGTACATGTTTTGTGAAAGAAAGGTGGGGGTTCATGGAATATGTTTACAAAGATATGTTTCTATTCTATATATGTTGGTGAAAGAAAGGAGGTTCATGGAACTGCAACGTGTACAAAGGAAGTTAGTCTACTTGGAAATAAATATGAAAAATTATCCTTGGGTTTTAATTGCGGAAGAGACTAGTTCTATTAGTAAATAATCTTTAAAAACTAGTTGGAGTTAGTTCTCTTGATTACTTTAGGCATCTACATTTGACATCAATGTACAAGTTTCTGACTGGTGTCTGAGGTGAGAGAGAGCTGTTTTATCATTTCTTTCTGGGCATAGAAAATCTACCCAGAATATCAGTTCTATGTTTGAGACAGAACATCTTTCTAGATTATCCGTTTCTGAGGAAATATAACATCTACTTAGATTATTTTTACCCATGCCTACAATAATTTAAAAAATTAGCGGATATGGAGCTGTTCAAAGGATAAGCGCTCCTCTACCATGAATTTAAAGCGATGGAAGACCATAGAAAAGATGATATAGAAATAAATAATGAGGCAAATTGGAAGTTTCACAAAGTTTATTCAACATCGAAGTTTGTATTAGAATATGAACTGATTTTATAATTAGTATTATCTATGAGGCACAGTGGCTGAGCGGTAAAGTGCTTGGTTTCCAAACCGGGGGTCCCGGGTTTGAATCCTGGTGAAGATTGGGATTTTTTATTTCGGGAACTTTGGGCGCCTCTGAGGCCACCCAGCTCTAATGGGTACCTGGTCACAGAAACATAGACCACAAGGTCTGAAAGGGGAAGTTACTTATAATAGTATAATCTAATGGTAATTACACAGCATTAACAATTCTAACCATGGAAAAGCTAATATAGAAGAAAGTGACTTTTCAGTTGCTTCTGCATCAAAGATTTCTGCCAATGTAGAATAAATTGCTATGTTGCTCGACATCTAAACACTAAGCATAGTTTTTGCCACAAAAAAAATCACCTTTAGTTTTTTTTTTTCTTCACAGATGTATCTGAGAATTTAACATCTGAGAATCATGTGAAGACTGGGATATTGAATTTTGGGATTTTTAGGGCGCCCCGAGTCCACCAAACTCTAACTGGTACCTGTCTATAGTAGAGAGTAAAGGTGGTTTGTTGTTGTGCTGGCCACATGACACCTGCTCGTTAACTGTTGGCTAAAGAAACAGATGACCTTAACATCATCTGCTCTATAGATTGAAAGGTCTGATGAGGAACTTTTTTTTTTACACATTTTTATGCCTGGAAGTAATGTGTATATTGTCGATCTGCACAGCAATTGAATGTATGGACAGACTTCGTGCCATGTTCTCATTTACCTTCAGTGTTTGTACATTTTATAACAAATCAAAATAAAGTAAAAACAAAATGGCACTATTGAATCAAATAAAGATGCCTTTTTAACAAAATCATATAAAAAAAGTTTTTATGACAAAATAGCTATGATATCAAACAAATGACAAAAAATCTAAAAGTTTATGAACATATGACGAGAAGGAATGTGACAATAGACATACTACTGTGAACATCAAAGTCTGATAACATGGTAAAGACTATGCTACTGTAATCATTGTATATAAACAGAGATGAAAATAACACATCAATGGTTGCATAGAAAAGTATAAACATTCCGAAACAAATATGGGCTTGGGTATTAATGATGGCCCACAGAATAACCCTTAAACAAGTTGGAACAATATAATAATAATAAGAGTCCTAAGATGAAGAAGGAGTACAATATTTCACATGGCTATGGAGTCCAAGCTGCGATATACATTTTTTGCCGCATCCATACGTTTTTTTAATATATATATATATATAGATACTTTTCATTACTTTGAAATAGATTCATGGATTATAGGTTGATGTCATTTGATTTTGGGTCACTTAGTTCCTGGCAACACTTTCCAAAGCACAACTGGCCAGCCTAACAGCCATGTTGGATGTGTAGGCAAGAGACAACTGCTTGGCTCGCTAGCAATGGGGCTCGAGCTCGAATCCTGAGAGTTGTGTTTGCTGAGTGCCTAAAGGCAGCACGGGAACCTAATCCCAGATAACCCCTCCCTCCACTGATCCAAAAGCATGTTTTGAATATAGCTTGAAAGATGTATTGTATAAAAGCAGAAAAAAAACACTAAAAATTAACACTATTAAATATTTACGAACTAGAAAAAAATGCACAAGCTCACAAGGATCTAGACCCTTCAATGCATTATCATATGTAGACAACAACACACAGTAAGAGCTAAATGCCAGTGATATTGCAAGGGGCTTTTTTTATAGGACAGATGCAGACGGTGGAAAGAAAATCTTAATCGACCTTGGATGCTGTGAAATATGTAGGTCACAGCTGAGGCTGCGTGGCGGCAGTAAATACTGCATTCCTCATTAATTAAGACAAGCCTTATTAATTATTATTACAGAACTCACAAATATTAATAGATGAACAGAACAAGAGAAAGACAATAAAACCAAGTCTGTTTTTTTTAATGGCAAGAGATAGAAAAATGGAATGAAGCATTTGATAGATCTCATCCTTTAACCAAAAGAAAATCTCAGGAAATCAAAGAAAAATATTTACAAAATTTCCATAAGGCAAGGCAGTCATGAAAGACCTGGACACTGACATAAAACAAG